TGCTGCTGCTGCTGCTGCTGCTGCTGCTGCTGCTGCTGCTGCTGCTGCTGCTGCTGCTGCTGTTGCTGCGTTTGCTGCTGCTGCTGCTGCTGCTGCTGTTGCTGCTGCAGCTGATGCTGAGGAATTTGCGTTCAGCAGTGACAGCAGAAGACCGTCTCCGCTACGGCAGAGTCAACTCCACCGCCCCACGCTTTATAGGTGACCCCACACCCACTCGATCCCAACACAATAAAAACACGATCCCAACACAATAAAAACACAAACACACGATCCCCACACGATCCCCACACGATCCCCACACCATACACCATCCCCACTCGATCCCCACACAATAAAAACACAATAAAAACACGATCCCCACACGATCCCAACACAATAAAAAACAATAAAAACACGATCCCCACACGATCCCAACACAATAAAAACACAATAAAAACACGATCCCGGCTCCCCACACGATCCCGGCTCGATCCCCACACAATAAAAACACGATCCCAACACAATAAAAACACGATCCCGGCTCCCCACACCATCCCCACACCATCGCCACACGATCCCCACACGATCCCCACACTATCCCGGCTCTATCCCCACACGGTCCCCACACGATCCCAACACAATAAAAACACGATCCCAGCTCGATCCCCACACCATACCCACACGATCCCCACACGATCCCCACTCGATCCCCACACGATCCCCACACAATAAAAACACAATAAAAACACGATCCCCACACGATCCCGGCTCCCCACACGATCCCGGCTCTATCCCAGCAGGAGGGGACAGGCTGTCTCTTTGTGTTTGTTTTTATTGTTTTCTTTGTTCTTTTTATTTTATATTTGTCTCCTTTTGTCTCTTTCTCGATCAATATCTTTTCTTTTTGTCTCCTTTTTTTTTTTTTTTTTTTTTTTTTTTTTTTTTTTTTTTTTTTTTTTTTTTTNTTTTTTTTTTTTTTTTTTTTTTTTTTTATATTTTTTTTTTATTTTTTTGCATGTGTCTCCTTTTGTCTCTTTCTGTATCAATTCCTTTCTCCTTTGTCTCTCTTTCTGTCTCTTTTATTTATTTTTTTTTTATTTTTATTTTTATTTTTTTATTTTTTCTATCAGAAAGGTTCGCTTTGGTGCGGCCACAAGTGGGCCTCCTCCTCACCCGCCTCGGCTTTAAAGAAGACACAAACTCTCTCTTTGTAAACCCTAAACCCTAAACCCTAAACCCTAAACCCTAAACCCTAGTGGCTGACAGACACAGAAAACACCAGCTTTTGTATGCGGAACGGCGAAATAATGAAGAAACCCTAAACCCTAAACAACACAAGCAATATATTATAAACCCTAAACCCTAAACAATAAACCCTAAACCCTAAACAATAAACCCTAAACCCTAAACCCTAAACCCTCGTGAAATTTCAGCCGTCATCAAATATATGCACTATGCAAGTTACTGTCTCGTCTCCTCTTTTAGGACCTAGGGTTTAGGGTTTAGGGTTTAGGGTTTAGGGTTTAGGGTTTAGGGTTTGTGAGTGCGGTTTGTGTGGTGTACAGGTATTCCGGGGAGACATGGAGACAATATCGGACTGCTGCAAGATGCTAGAAGAAGCATTTGCTGCTGCTCCTGCTGCTGCTGCTGCCTCTCCCGCTGCTGCAGCAGCAGCAGCAGCAGCAGCAGCAGCAGCAGCAGAGGAAGCAGAAACTAAAAAAGAATATGCTGCTGCTCTGGGGGCCCCGAGAGACACCGCCAATGGGTGGAGCTGCAGCCCCTGGCTGTCTGATCAACCCCAGCCTTGGCATGCAGCAACAGCAGCAGCAGCAGCAGCAGCAGCAGCAGCAGCNGGCTGTCTGATCAACCCCAGCCTTGGCATGCAGCAACAGCAGCAGCAGCAGCAGCAGCAGCAGCAGCAGCGACAGGAGCAGCAGCAGCAACAGCAGCTGCTGCAGAAGAGTCCTCAGCTATACAATCGGCAATTGCTGCAACCGATCCGGCTGCAGCAGCAGCAGCAGCAGCAGCAGCAGCAAACAACTTGGAAGAACGCAGACTCGAAGCACATCAACAGCAGCAGCAGCAGCAGCAACAGCAGCAGCAGCAGCACGAAGAGACTGCCGCGCCAAAGGGGACGGCCGTTGCTGAGGAAGAGAGACTGCATGCTGCAGCAGCAGCAGTAGCAGCAGCAGCAGCAGCAACAGAAGCAGCAGCTGCTTCAAGCGCTGCAGCACCCCACAGCGAAAAGCCATCAGAGGGGGATTCCGGAGCAGCAGCAGCAGCAGCAGCAGCAGCTGCTGCTGCTGCTGCAGCAGAAGAGCCTCGAGGAACCCCTGGAGGCAGCAGCAGCAGCAGCAGTGACAACGATGACGCAGGCAGCAGCAGCAGCGCAGCAGCACCGAGCAGCAGCAACAGCGATTGCTGCAGCACTAGTTGCAACAACAACAGCAGCAGCAGCAGCAGCAGCAGCAGTAGCAGCAGCAGCAACTGCTACGACAACAGCAGCAAGAGCAGCAGCTGCAGCGGAGTAAGAAGGAGCTCCTGCTGCAGCACACAGAGCCAGGGGGCCCCCGGGGGCCCCCCAACCTCTTCTAGGCGCAGCAGCTTCAAGGCTGACGTTGAGTCTGCTGCTACTAGCAGCAGCAGCACGGCTGGTTCTCCTGCGCTTCTCTCCCCTGTCGCCTCTCAGCAGCAGCAGCAGCAGCAGCAGCAGCAGCAGCAGCAGCAGCAGGAGGACAGGCCCTCAGCAGCAGATGCATGCAAACCAGAAGCTGAGCCGCA